GAACCATCTGGGTGTCCTTTCGATTTCTACGTACTGTACGGGATACCCAAAAGGAAGAAGAGAGTGCCTCGCTCTGAAAAGTATGGCTCACCTCCAAGAATAATGACCCCTCCCACAGGTTGGGTAACTGATGAGGAAGCATTAGAAAAAAGTAAGAAGAAAGTTCAGCAAACAGAGGATTAGCGTGATATACTACACGTCGACTTATCACAAGGGGATAATTCGACAGAAAACAAGCAGGAAGTAGAAATAGAGGCTGCCGAAAATGTTATTTTTAAACGGCCAGCCATGAAATTGACTAAACATTTGAGGCCATTGTACGTTAAAGCTCTAGTTAACGGCATCCCAGTGGCAAAAGTGCTTGTTGACAATGGAGCAGCTATAAACACCATTCCATCTAGGATGATGAGGAAGTTCGCAAAGACAGAGGGTGACATGATTCCTACAGAAGTCATCCTCACGAGCTTCAATGGAGGAGCAACTTCAGCTAAGGGAGTTATGCCATTGGACATAACTACATGGATGACTACTAGGACCACTGTCTTCTTTGTACTAGATGGTCCTACTAGTTACAATGTGCTACTAGGAAGAGATTGGATACACGGAAGTCGCTGTATACTCTCATCGCTCCATCAATGCCTGATCTTTTGGAATAACAAAGGCGAAGCAGAGGTGGTACAGGCCGATCATAGGCCTTTTGTCGCAGAAGCAAACTCGGTGGAAAAGTTCATGTACGAAGGAAACTATGGACCTGTCAGGGTAGTACAAGATGGGGAAGAAACTCAAGTTGTTGCGCAAAGCAAAGACCCATTTTCAGTGGACGCACTCACTGAAATGTTCAGACAGATGAGGCCAAATATAGTGGCCCTGGAAGAGCCATTAATTGGCAAAAGAATAATTAAGGAGTCTTGAATGGATTCTAAGTTACGAAAGTAAATGGCCGACATTCAGGCTTTCAAAGCCAAACTAATGGCTTTCAATAAGGAATGCAATGACAAGGCGAAAGAAGTGACAGCCCTAAAAGCGCTGAAGGACAAATTGGCAGCATTCGAGTTAGAACAAAGCATTGACCGAGAAGTCAACAAGGTGGACTGTTTAGAAGAGGAAGTACTTACAAGAGAACTGGACGACGAAGTGATGCGAATCGCCAAACCTGGATACGCTCAAGCACAAGTCCCTCTGATCAAAGTAAATATTGGCAATGAAGGAGAAGATCGTCCAACATTCATCAGCCAGATGCTCGATCAAAAGGTTAGTAACAAATTAATCATTTTGCTAAAAGGGTACAAAGATTGTTTTGCTTGGGAATATGAACAAATGCCTGGTTTAGATAGAGACTTGGTGGAACATAGATTAGCAACTAAGCCTAATTTTAAATCTCATGGGCAGCCTCCTAGGCGTTTTGCTCCTAATGTTCTCCATGAAATCAAGTTAGAGATAGAGCGATTATTGAAAGCAGGTTTTATTAGAACAGCCAGATATGTCGAATGTTTGTCCAATATCGTGCCAATACTAAAAAAGAATAGTAAACTAAGGATGTGTATAGACTTTAGGAATTTAAACATAGTTACACCC